CAATACCAAGTAAATACAGGGCCAGTATTTAGGCAGCTAATTGAGAGAGAGTAGTGTGCCATTGCTTAGGAGATGAATTCTCAATTTGCAAATTCTGAACACAGTTTAATCACCACTATATCACAATTGTTATTTTCTACAATAATTAGCTAACACAACAAAACACACCTTTCAGGTTTTAATGTGTTTTGAAACTGGGTTTTTTTCTGTCTCTATAGCACACAAAAAGGTTCCGCATTTTTCATAGTGCATGTTTGAGGTTTATTTTTTCCAAAGAAATAGTTAACACAGTTCAGCAGGCTACATACTGAACTTGAATGATAAAAGCAAGTATCGACCCAGTTGTGCTAGTATTGATCCAATACCAATACTAGTGTTGGTATCAATACTATTGATTTTTGGATCGATCCACTCACCTCTAATATCGGGCAAGTACTGTGTTAGAGACAAAGGAAGCCACATTGTTTGATGGAAGTTAACATTTCCAGCCTACACAGGGATTAATTCAAAGAAGCCCCACAAATCAAAATAGAAAAAATGATGCAGCAGGATATTTTTGCTCAAACTTCATTGCAGCCACTCAAAATGGTACTCAGTAGTTTGTATATCATCCGTATGCTTGTTCTCATGCCTGGCAATTTGGGGTATGGTCTTAATGAGACAGTGGATGGGGTCCTGGATCCCAGATCTGGACCAGGTCATTACTGAGCTCCTACATAGTCTGGTTATGTCAGATGGACTGATACATAATGTTGCAGAGGTCTTCCCTTGGATTTAGATCAGGTGAGCGTGGGGGCAAGTAATTGCCTACATATCTTTGCCACATGGCATTCTCGTGCACCAGGAGAAACCGATGACCCGCTGCACCAGTGTAGAGTCTGACAATGAGTCCACGGAATTCTTCCCGATACGTAATGGAAGTCAGGTTACTGTTGCCTGGCCTGTTTAATCTGTAGCTCTGTAGCTCAGTTGTCACCAAGTAAATGTAAAGTTTCACTGGCACAGACCTGCAACAGAAACGTTTCAAGAAGCACACGTGTCAATTAAAAGTATGGCAATATTAAGCTCATGCAGACCCCACTTTTTAAACAAAAGGACTGATAACAAAACAGCAGCAGTGATGATGTTGTAATCATTTAATGTGGACCTGAAGTCTGTCGGCCAACACAGCGAGCTCGTGTTAATTGAAAGAAAACATTTTTTAAGTGTACGAAAGAAAACACAGCGCTGTTTATGAAAGTACTGTTAAACCTTTTACTTGGACAAAGCTAGCGAGAGTCCTTCATCAAACCATTTGATCAACAAATGTGAAGAAAAGCAAACTTTGTAGCTGCTCCATCCAGAGCTCTTCAAACTGAAAACTCTGCAGTAAAGCTACAGATGTTACATTAAAATATGAAGATGAACTGTTAATCTTATTATTAACTGTAGTTTACTTTGAAGTCTGAACTTTCAACACAAGCTGAAATAGAGACTCAGCGTGGTTGCAGCTTGTTGCTACGTCAGCTTAATTGCATGTCGGTCATGTGATTTGGAGACGCGGCACACAGAGTGTTAATAACACTCACCTTCATTCTGCTTTCAAAGTGTTAATGCTATCTTATCTTAATAAACAACACTTTCAAATGCAAAACTAGAGTGGCACTAGGAGTGGCAAGAGATCATTTCACCATGCCAGCTCTCTAGATCTGCACCTGTGCCGGTCCAGTGTGTGAGGCCAGCCAGGGAAAAGTCTACCTCTGCACCAGTACCCACCTTGCAGGTGGGAGCGACTGGTGCTCAGCAGGTGCCTGCACCCGTTCCTGCTCCCTGGAGGAAAGCAGCCAAGCAGGAGAGGTTGGGGGGCGCAAGGGAGCTGCTTAGCTGGTGCCGGAGGTCAGGGTCGTATCATATCATTTAGGGTTAGGTTGGCGGCCGATCTGCAGGACGGCAAAACAAGCGGGACCCGCTGCGGGTTAGGCAGTGGCGGCAAAAAAGTTCAGGTGGCCTACCTCTAACCCCGTGATGGAAGCAGAACGCTTCAGGCGGCCTGCCACGGATCCGGTGGCAACGGCGTTGCAGCTCCGGCGGGCGGCCACGGGTCCGGTGGCGGCGGTGTTGCTGCTCCGGCGGGCGGCCACGGGTCCGGTGGCGGCGGCGTTGCAGCTCCCGCCTCAGCACCACCCACGATTCCCAATGTACCGGCCGGGCTGCAGGACGTGGCGGCCCCTCCGGCACGCAGACCTCCAGCTCTGGCTCAGCGGATCCCTCCGGACCTCCGAGCTCCTCCGGTGGCAGCGCGGGCTCACCAAGCTCGCTGAGCTCCTCTGCTGGCAACGCCGGTCCCTCCGGCTCGTTGAGGTCCGCCAGCAGCGGTGCGGGCTTCTCAGTGGGTGGCTCGCTGGGCTGCTCCGGCTCACAGTGCTCCTCCGGCTCGCCAAGCTCCTCCGGCAATAGCTCGCTGAGCTCCTCCAGCATTAGCCCGCTGAGCTCCTCCGGCTCACAGTGCTCCTCCGGCTCGCCGAGCTCCTCCGGCATTAGCTCGCTGAGCTCCTCCGGCTCACAGTGCTCCTCCGGCTCGCCGAGCTCCTCCGGCAATAGCTCGCTGAGCTCCTCCAGCATTAGCTCGCTGAGTTCCTCCGGCTCACAGTGCCCCTCCGGCTCGCCGAGCTCCTCCGGCATTAGCTCGCTGAGCTCCTCCAGCATTAGCTCGCTGAGCACCTCCGGCTCACAGTGCTCCTCCGGCACGCTGAGCTCCTCCGGCTCGCTGAGCTGCTCCGGCTCGCTGAGTTCCACAGCTGGCGACGCGGGCTCCTCCCGCTCGCTGAGCTCCTGCTCGGGCATGCTGAGCTCCCGCTCGCCGAGCCGCTGCCGCTGGACAAAGTCTGGGGCTTCCCGAGCTTGCACTACCCCCCGGGCTTCATGCAGGGTGCGAAGGAAGGCGGAAACCTCCTTAAGCTGGCCGAGGTAGGGACTTCCCTCCAGGATTGCCTCGATGGCATTTAACCCCACCACTCTTGCCCTTGCGTTGGTGGTGTGAGTTACCCAGTCCATCAGGCGTTGGACGCGTGTGAGGTCAGGGCTGCTGGAGTGGGTAGTGGAATGGAGGCTGCCGCTGGTGGAGAAGATGGCTGAGGGGTGACTGCATGCGGATGAGATGACGACGGTGTTACAGCTGCAGATGGTGAAGCAGCGGGTGGTGTAGATGGTGAACGGGATGAAACGGTAGGCGGTGAGGTAGATGTCGCGGGGAATGATTCAGCAGGTGACGGCCGAATTACTAGCTGGGCGATTGGCTGTGGTACGGCGACCAGCTGGGCCGCTGGCTGCGCTTTGGCTACCGGCTGGGCAGCTGGCCGTATAAACATAGCCCCAGAGTAAACGGTAGAGGTGAGTGACGAAGAATTGTCCATATGACTCACCACAGCCGGCTGTTGGAAAGTTTTAGAGTCTGACTGCGGTGAGGCACGCCGGCGGCGCAAGCGTCGCTTCTGTAACGATGCCGGGGCCAGCGTATCAGGCTGAGGTTCCACCAGCCGGCCGGACAGGAGAGCAGCTGTGTGATTTTGAGCTGCCGGTCCTTGGTCTGCTGACTCAGCAGGTGCCGCAGAGGTGAGTGGAGATGTGGTGAGGTGCAGAGGGCGTGTGAAACGTTTCCCCCGCAATGGAGGGTCCAACAAGCGAGCTGCAAGCGACGGCGGGGAGGCTATCAGCCTATGAAAAAAGAAATAGGCAGCAAGGGCTCCCAGGGAGGTTGCCATATCCTCCTCGCCCGGACAGCCCAAACCAAACAGCTCAAAACAGGAACTTTCCCTCAGCGTGGTTATAATCGAAATTAGTCTCTTAATGTCCAAAAAGCTCACAGATGAGGTGATTGATGATAAGAAGGAATCAAAAAATACGACCTGTAAGTGTCTCTGATGTGGATCTGCCGCCTGGATAATGCTCCGACAGTATTTCCAGAGCTGGGCGAGCAATTCCTCCTGTGAGACGGTCCTTGAGTCCGCTGGGCCCATAATGGCAGGATCGTTCTGTCACGGTCTGGGGGGCAGACCGTGGGGGATGTTGGAGAAAGGACCCAAACGCTGGACTTAATGAAATGAACAGTGGGTTTATTTACAGTGAGGTAAATGTACACCACACATTGAATCTCCAAAAGTGCTCCCTCGACTCCCGTGACGTGTCTTCTCCCAAGTGCTGGTATCCCGTGCTCTCTGCCCCTGTGCCTTCACACACCCCGTGTGTCTTGCAGTCCTGTGTTCCACTCTCCTGAGGAAAAATCACAGACACAGCCGTTATGGCACCAACTCCAGCAGGCATACACTGACCAGCACTACAAACACTGACATGGAGTCTAACTCAACGATCCTGCGCCGGAGGAAGCTCCATCGCTCTGTTAAGTAGCTCCCCCGACGATCCTGATCAGAAGCAGGTGTGTGGTAAGCTAGGCGTGACCAGCAGCTGGCAGGGCCACACCCATCAGGCCTGCAGGTGGCTGTCCTTCATCCTCCAGCCTCACACACACACACACACACCAGCATGGAACACAAGAGCACAGTGCAGCAAACATACATCCAATACACTAATAACAATAAAGGTCCACACTGTTCACGAACCCCGAGTCCCCGGAACCGGGTCCGTGACAGTACCTCCCCTCTACAATGCTACAATGTTTAAATTGGTAGCTTGCTGACGGCTGACAGCATCCGTCCCAAATCACAGTCATACCTGGAGCAGGCAGGGTGAATCTAAAGGGGGGCATGGGGTGTACTAGACCATATTTATTTCAAGGCTTTTAGAATATCGTCTGCCTGTCTTGCCTCATATTCCTGGAATTCATGTTGTCTCAAGTCTCGGTTTTTCTCAGGTTCAGGTGTCTCACAGTGGAAATTTATGTTTGTTTTATGGTTTGTATTGTTTTGATCTTAGTGTGTATTGGTGCGTACAGTACTGATTTTGTTTGCATGGTTTTACCCTGATATTTATATTCCATGTTTCAGTGTTTCAGTGTTTCAGTGATGTTAATCCACTGTGGACTGGGCGGACAATAGCAGGCGCCTGTTGAACTGTGGGCGGACCTGTTGCCTGATCTTGGGGTGCGACGGGTCATTTGCAGATGGACCGGCCACCGTAACACAGCAACCCAGTCCATTCCTGCAAGAGGGGTGACAGTGGGAGATGACGCGTGTAATCGACAGCAGGGCAGAGGTGCACCTATGCTTGCATAGGTATGTGAGAATCGCTTTCCCCACTTTTGTGCACCCAGTGCAGCTTTGTCAGGGGAGGGTCGCAGCGGCCATGCCGACTACGTAGCTGGCCAATGTCTGTCTGTTTCAAGGCGGTACTACGAGGGAGGCTCCGTTTACAGTAATCAAGCTCAAATTGTGGAGTGCAGCTGGGCTGGGCTGCAACACGCCCTTCAGGCAGAGACAGGGCCGAGATACGAGGTTCATCCGTGGATTTCTGGCTTGCGTGGTCTCTATTTAAGAAGAGGAATTCCTTCCCTGGTTTTAAATAAAAGGAACATTCACCCGAGCGTGGCTGGACAGTGGTATCAGGGGGTTGGGGGGGATTGTTAGTTTATGTGAAACATTGTATTGTATTATTTCTTGAATAGTGCGTATTTATTGCTGTCGGCAGGCGTTTTAGCATGCAGAGAACGTTTTTATTGTATATGCATCTTTTAAAATTGTGTTTGTTAAGTCCATTTTTTCTTCCTTCTCTGGAATAAATGGCCTGTTTAAGACCTGTTTAGTCTCTGTGCCCTGCGCTCTTATTCACTTGCTCCCCTCCTCCTTGCATACGAAAGAACTTTCTGGTGGGAAATTTAGACCTACCAGCTTTTGTGGCTACACATGCCATGTCTAGCTTCAGCTTCACTAGTTCAGGTTATAGTTTATTTGTCGCCATTGCCTTTTTGTTTCTACATTTTTTAAACAGCCAGAATAAAAGACTCGCTTTTTATTAAACTTCATTACTCTCCGTCTTCTTTTCTGCTTTTGGGTCCGCTCCTCAAACACACCGGCCACCCAGGTCATAACAAATACATTATCTAAACTTAGCAGGTAGCTAGCATCCAACACAAATAACTTGACAAAATGTCTTTTTTATTTTATTGGTCAGAGTTCTGGCCTCAATATAAGAGTGGCTACTTAGCATTGATATGTAAAACAGTTTTGAAACTGGGTTTTTGGAGACCTGTGATGTAAATTTTTCTGTCTCTAAAGCACGCAAAAATGCCCCCCCCCCCACCCCACCGACCCATGTGAAAATAATAAGCAATAGCTTTAAATTACAAAAAAGTGTTTAGTAGCCCTGTATTTCGCATTGTTCAAATTTACATTAAGAGAATCTGCGATGAATGTTTCAATAAATCTGTTTCAACAAATAAGTGTTATTTTCTTTTCCTTTCTCCAGTCAACAGATTCAGTGTAAATGTGTTGGTATAACTTTAATGTGGTAATATGCTTTTGTTTGTATGATTTGGCACCCTCTTGTGGCCACAGTTGGCACTTGGGAAGTTGTTATGCCCAGCTAGTTTGCTCCAAGTGCTCAGTGGAGGTGAAACCTTTGCCCACGCATGCCTGTAAGTTTCCATTACATACTATAACCTTAACTATCTGATTTGTGATGCATGTGTAATGTGAGTATACTGAGTTACTATTTCAGCTGTGTGGTCATTACTCATTTGTAAAGCTACTTGTGTGCTAGCGACTGTATATTAGCATGTGCTTGTTAACTTGCTATGATCAATAATGCTAGTTAACTGAAGGTGATGTTTATGTTTAATTTAGGCAACCTTAAGATTTATGTTTTTGCTGGTTGTCATGAAAACTAAGTTTCAGTTAGTACATTATGTATGTTCAGTGAATGAGAAGGTAATTATCTGTTTTGTGTTTATTTAGTTTTACAAAAAGAAAAGAGAAAGGAGAGTAATGAAAATGGATAAAGGATACCATGTATAAGAAGCCTCAGTAACATGTAAACTGGAGATGCAGATCGAAGTAAAGAAGAATCTCAGTTCAAAGCATTCTCTTCTTCTCATTCTGTTCACTGTCTGTCAAACAAGCTAAATCACGCCCACATCTAGTGAGGACAGAACAGTAAATGTGTCTTTCTAAAGAATCTCTATCTGCACTGAACTTTCATACTGTAAATGACTGAAATGCCAACTTGGAATAAAGAGGAGAATGAGTAATATATTTATTAGGAAGTTCGCAGATTGTCTGTCACAAAGCTCATCACTTAAATCAATCAAAAGATTTAACCTGTTCCTCATTTGTGTAAATAAAGTTTTTATATTTTATAGGAACACAATCATTTATGACAGTTGATTCAACAGAAACTGTATCAGTTATAACGTACATTTATCTAGAACCACCAATGTGACACAACAAACCACTGAATGGGCACATTCATGTATTCATGGAACAAATAATATCTTAAAAAATGAACGCACACATAAAATCAGTACACAGAATCACTGACCACATGATTAAGAAATGTTGTTGTAAAAGCTGATAGAAACTTTGTTTGTTTTATCAGTTCTTCACCAGTGAAGTAAATCAGCCACAAATAGACACTTTATCATTCATGATATCATATCATATACACAGTAACACCACAATAAGTACAGTGTCGTTGTTGTGCAGCAACACCACGCTATGATGTTAGTTAACTTAAACAGTAGGTTTCACAAATATTAACATTACTTTGAATCCTATACAGATGTTTCAGTCAGCATGCAGATGTTCACATGACTGATGTCCAAGATTTTTGTCCTCCTGTTGCACTAGTTTGGACTATGATGCAGCTTGATTCATGTAGATGGTTTCTGTCTCTGGTTTGTTGAACTGTCTTGATCTAAACCAGCTGAAGAAAAAAACAAATTGAAATGAAACTAGTTTTTGGTTCATTTCTGTAATTATGAATAATAAAAATCGACTTAATCGACTTAAATAGAAGTAAAATTAACCCTGTAGCCTGTAAATAGTTATAAATGACTATCATAGAAGCAGCTGGCTCACCACTCAAATAAGACCAGTGTGCTCACAAGCAGTATGATTCCCACAGTCTTCACTACAATGCAGACACCGAACAGTTTTCCTGACTGTTCATCTGCAAGGCAACGAGATTTTAGAGCAACAAAAAGATGAAATAAAAGAAAATTGAACATTTCACATTAAACACAGCCCCTGAGGGGACGCGACTATGATGCTTTCTATGTGGCTTTGTCCTGTTTTCTTTTCACTCAGATAAATCTAACTTGGAGCTAACCCCAGTCGTCAGTTTGAGACATATTAGTCTTGAGTCTTAATTCTTCAGCTTATTGTAGAGTAGTGTTACTAGAAAACTTAATATTATCACCTTCTGTTATTTTGTGACCATTTTTTTTTATTTGTGCATTTCTTCTTTTCATGATGAAAGTGGCTGTGCTGTGTTTTTTCAGCTAATTTAGGATAAAGTTAATGTTTTTTTATAGGCTTTTTACCGTCCTTATGAATATAAATGTAATATAATAAATATAATAAATAATAAAAAAATTAAAATATGTTTAGAAAATGTCTGTATTTTTCTTGTCTCTTTTTTTAGCACTTTATGTAAGACAATTACTTTCTGACATCAATTTACAGTTTAACGTTGAAATATTGATGCAAAATGCATTTGATTACCACTTGAAGTTATATATGGTGGTGGTCAGAGGGCCTGGTGGCGCCAGTGTTCGGCAGCCTCGCCTCTGTCAGTGCGCCCCAGGGTGGCTGTGGCTGCAATGTAGCTTGCCATCACCAGTGTTTGAATGGGTGGATGACTGGATGTGTAAAGCGCTTTGGGGTCCTTAGGGACTAGTAAAGCGCCATACAAATACAGGCCATTTACCATTAATGTTTGTTTTCGTGGACAAGAAAAAGGAAAATATGTGAATACAACACATCAGTAGCTTCGGCCTTTACCTGTAACAGACACACGAATCTCTGCTGATGTCTGATTACCCAGATCATTAGTGGCCACACAGTAATAAACTCCTCCATCTGTTACACTGAAGCTGTAAATCTCTCCTTCAGATACTTTCACAGCTCCATCTCTGCTCTTCTTGAACCAGGTGAAGCTGCTGACTGGAGGTTTGGCTCTGCTGGAGCAGGTCAGGTTCACCCAGCTGTCTGCTGACACCAAACCTGATGGACTGATGGATGCGGAGGTGTTTTTAGGAGCATCTGAGAAAAAGAAAGAAAATGATATCTCATAAATTATGATTAGTTGGCAGGATTTAAAAAAAAAACCTTTGATTGTCTTACATGAAACACTGAGAGTCTCTTCTGTCTCTGCTGTCTTGATGTCATTTCCTTGGTTCACAGGATATCTGGCAGAGCAGCTGATCTTCTTTCCATCATGTGTGTCTGACAGAGTGATTGTTTGCTGGATTTTAGTTGTAAAGCTTCCATCTGTGTTTTCCTCTATTTCGTTAGGAGAGTCTTGTTGGAGATTCCAGGTGAGTTGAGGAGGGGAGTGTGGACAGGGAGTGAGAGCTGAGCAGGTTATAGTGACAGACTCCTTCTCCTTCAGATCACCTGGGATTGCAATATCGGGCCTCCAAGGAGAATCTGTGGTTTAACATGAAACATAGTTTGTACACTGATAATACAGGAAAGACAGAATAAAATAATAATAATAATAATTTTCCATTCAAAAATCATGAAACTGAAAGGACTCAGCATATACTTTTTTAACTCTCAAAGAGCCAAAGAAGAACAAAACTGTTTCTCCAAACATTAACATAATGGTAGTGTTTAACAATAGAAAATAGAGAGAGAAAATATTTGAATAGGTATATTTATGTGACATCTGACCTGTTAATAATACAATTAGACTTTTCATTGGTTAATACTAATATCAAAAGTCTCTCACCTTTAATTGTTATTTGAACAGGTTCACAAAAAGCTGTTGATCTGAATGGCCAGTTCATAATTCTGAAGTAGTATGTGTTTGTATAATTTGTGATTAAATTGGAAAACAGAGTGGTGCAGCTTTTCTCCTTCAGGTTTCCTGTAATATTCATTGGATAGATGTTAACTGTCCCACTGCTGTTGAAGATCACGTTTTCTGGATAAAGTTTAAAATGACTTTTAATCCACACTGCAAAGACAGGTTGTGTGCTGTCAAACTTTACTGGTCCAGCATCATTAAAGTTACATGGGATTTGTAAACAAGATCCACTCAGAGCTTCCATCTCTGTTGGTGCAGTGATGAACAGGTTTGCAGAATCAGGACAAGCAGCCAAAGAGTCTGGGAATCCAGAGAGCAAAATTAAAATGTGCAAATCTAAATGAAGAGAAAATTCATATTTACAAATCTGACTTTAAGTGTCATGGGTTTGCTTTTTTCTCCTGTTCTTTCTACACCTTCGGTACAAAATGTTTCACTTAACTTACAAATATAAAATGTGTGACTTTGTAAAGTTTCTCTATCTGCACTGATCTGTCAGACTGTAAATGACTGTAATGAGACGGCTCACTTGGAATAAAGAGGAGACTCAGTAACATGATGCCTGTCATGATGTTCACAGACTGGACTGTCACAAAACTCATCACCTGTATAAATAAAATACATAATTACACAAATAAAATATCAAACTAGAAATTATCTTTTATAAGGTGTTTGGGTTTTTTGTAATAAACACAGTTAGTAAAATTTAAAAACGAATGTCTTACCAAATGATCAGACTGCTACAGACGAGAGACGACAAAGTAAAAGTGGTTTCAGCAGAAACACAGCGAGTGAAACACTTCTCTGTTTAGATGTTGTCATGTCAAAGCAAACAGGCCTGTGATGCTTTTAGTTTTCTGTCTTTCTTTATTCAGTCAGTCTTTTTATGTTCCCATCATGCACACTCCTGTCACTTCAGTAACTGCCACTCCTACCTGCCTGCTTCTACATTCACCTGTGCTGACTCTTCCCTCACACGATAACCTGTTCCTCATTTCCATCAGTTGTCTTCTTAACTGACTTTTTCCTATCACTTTATTCCTGATCTTCATTATTTGTGACTATTGGCTGCTTTGACTTTTTGACCTTGCATTTTTCCCTTAAATAAAGACTTTTAAAATCTTACATCTCACTCCTGAGTAGGGATGGGTATCGTTTAGGTTTTATCCGATACCGGTGCCAAATCGGTACTTTTGAAACGGTGCCGGTGCTCAAACCAGTGCTTAAAGAATGGAGAACACAAAATTGGTCCAAAAACCTCTCATGTTCAGCTGTTTTTTGTAAAAAGATAACAATGTTAGCCTTTTCTGCAGCTATGGGGCATATATGGTATCACTCTTGGCTGGAAGCAGTGCTTAAACAATGGAAAAAACACAAACTTTGTCCAAAACCTCTCATGTTTAACTGTTTCCCACTTTTTCTTTGGTCATTTTAGCCTTTTTGGCCAGGGTGAAGGGAGTATCTGCCATCAAACAAGAGGACAGCCGCATGTAGCTATGATGATGTTTGCTAGTTCACCTTACATGCATTAATGTAATAACGTGGTTAGCCTACTCAGCGTAAATTACACTCGAACAACATGAAGCTACTCACGCAGAGAAGAACGGCTGCTGCTGCCATCATCATCCGTCATCATTTCTGCTACACTGGCAGGGCTAGGGGCCAGGACTCTCCTCTTTGTGTTTTTGGGGGATGTTGCAAAACAGGCAACCCACCCGCAGTAGAGGTGCTTGGTGTGAGGTCTCGCAGCAAGCTATCAAATACGGCGCATTTCTGGGCTTTAAAAAAAAACGCTATGCGTCGCCGGGTGTTTCATCGGATTTGAGGTGTTACCTCCTTTGACAGTATCACAGTATCAGCTTAAAGCACTTGTTGCAGGCTGCTGAGTTTGCATATTTTGCTGTGAAGTACAGCCAGACTTTTGACAGCTTCGCCTTGGGCATTTTTAATCTGTAGCTCTGCTCTAAAAGAACGTACGTACCTGGGCCCGCCTACTATCCTCGGAAACGTAAAATGATTGGCTAGAAGTGTATCACAGCTCAGGAAAAAAAAGCACCGAAATAAAGCACCGAAATGTGCGCTGCTTTTCGGTCTGGTTACTACCGTTTATGTCATGGCATCGAACACCGGTACCCATCCCTACTCCTGAGACATGCTGTTGGCTCACAATCATTCTGTAACATAAATGTATTTTTTTAACAACTGTTTTTGAAGACAAACGTGTTATCACACAGTATCACGACTTGTATTACCCAAGACTAGCACTGCTTATTTCAAACTTCTGTTGTCTGTGTATTCAAAGCAGTGGTGGGAAATTTTTCATGTGTGTTTCCCACACTCACTGAAATAATAGCTCAGGTTCAAATTTAATCATTTGAGCCCCCAAACCCCCTTTTTTATATGTTTCTTCTCAGTTTGCTGGCTGGATTTACACAGTGCTTTTCTTGTCTTACTGAACACTCTGATCACTTTTAACAACATGTCACACATTTATTTCAAGATTTCGAGCTCCCATATGAATAACAAATCCCATAAGAAGATACAAAACATGTTGGCAGGAACATAAAGACTCACATTTAAAAAGCTGAAGTATGTGGAGAGTACATTTTGCAGAACTATTTCTGTTTTTGTGGAAAAGGAGTTCCTCCTTCAACTTCTGCTTCTTGATATAACCACAAGAAATCACCTGAAAACAGTTATTACAGGTGAAGTTAAGACAAAAACTGAACTTAAAAAGTGGCAGGATGTTGTTTGTGTAATTTCACTAAACTGTAAAATGTAATGCTTATTAATGTAATGCTACTTCACTACAGTTCTCGTATTTTCTTCACCTCAGTTTCTTCACCTCAGAGTTCTTTGTAGCCTTCACTCGTCTTTACATGTCTTGCTCTCCTCCTCGGTCTGTCACGGCCTGGAGGATCTGATTAGTGGTTTTGTCTCTCTCTCTCTCTCTCTCCCTCTCTCCTTCTCTATCTCTTTCTTGCCAGGGCAGAACTCACTGCGGGTTCACGCCCTCGGCCCACGCCCCTCTGAAGGGGAAACACCTGGGCCTCATCAGTGCAGGCAGAATTTAAGCCAGGGAGTGGCTTCTACTCTTCGCTGGATCGTTGCGTGTGACTCGCATCAGTGCAGCCTAGCTCAGAGCAAGTTCACTTTCGTTTCTCTGCGCAATCCTTCTAACGTGTGTTTGTTCTGTACATAGATCCCCTGGATCGACCTTGTGTTCCCTGATTGGATTCCTGTTTTTGCGAGTGTTTGGAGAGAGACTGATTGCGAGTGGAGATTGCCTGAAGAGGAGCAAGTGTCTTTTTCCCTACCTGGATTCCCCCGGAGCCTTTTCCCCTGTCACCACTTTGTATATAGCACCACCCCTGGACTACTGGTGGAACTGTAATAAATCTCTACATTGTGCCTCTAAGCTTCTGAGTCCTGCGTGTGAGTCCTCAAGCGAACTGTGACAGGGTCATAGTGCCCCAGGTTTGTTTTTTTTTTGTTTGTTAGCTTTTGTGTTCAGTTTTTGTCCAGTTGTAGCATGATCACCCCTCTGATTTCCACCTCCGGGATACAAATATAGATGTGGACGCATGCATCATACTTCAGTTTACTAACACATGAACATGCAAATCTGTGATGTGTTTTAACATCTCCTGACAGCAGATGTAAAATAATCAATTGAAACTATTAAGCTCACCTGATGTCACTGCACAACAAACTGTCGTTATTGTGGTGAAGCTTCTCACAATATATGATTTATTGTTGGCACTGAAAGAACCACTCCAGACACAGCAGAGAAACCCATTTATATGGCAGCTTTTGGCTGACATGTAAATCTATTTATCAACCAATAAATGACTGATTAAATAAAAGCAGAAACATATAAACACATTGGGGAAGTTTGTTATCAGTCAAAGTTTCTGCCACCTGTGTGAGTACAGGCACACAAATTTCTGTGACAAACCTTTGCAATTTCCTTTCTTCCACACATGATGTCATCTAAATATGATCTCTAGTGATTTAGTCAGCCTTTTATGAACATATATGAACACACGTATCAAACTCAGAGCTCTCTGAAGAGAAGAAAACCACTGAAGTGTAAATTTCATACCATATCAGTCATCAAATACATCATATACTAACCAGTTACATCTTTATTAAAGTCTAAGCAACATTAAAGTCTAATGTCCAAACAGGATTTAAAGCAGTTTTTCTAACTAACATTAACATGGTAATACCTGAAGCTAGAGCTGGGCGATAGAACGATAACGATATGTATCGCGATATAACTTTTACTCGATAGAGAAATTAAACTATCGCGATAGACCTCGCCGCTCTTGTCCTCTTAAAAAAAAAAGGTCAGCCAATCCAAATTAAGTAGCGCAGAGCCGAACCAATCACAGCTGCAGCGTCACGTCGCGTGACTTGTTACGTACAGCACAAGTGCCAAGCCGCACGTGTGTTTGTTTGGGAAGCAGCCAGCGGGTAATGGAGCCAGCGCGTAATGGAGGAAATGAGTGTGCTGACTAGAAAAATCAACCGAGCGTGACCGAAGGTTACCGAGGAGAAAACAGATGATGGTTCCAATGCCGGGGAGATTGTCGAACGGAAGAGCCATAGAAGTTCCGTAGTGTTAAGGTATTTCGGCTATTTCAAGTCTGACAAAAAACAGAGTAGCGTGCACTGTAAATTGTGCCGAAAGCAAGTCTGGAAATACAATAAACTGGTACATGCGTCACACTGTGCGCCACGTTATTGTTTCGGTGAAATGAATTTCTACAATACTGTTACTGTTAATTCTACTCTCTGCAGTGTAGAAACGGAAAATCTCCGTTTTCAAAAATACCCGTGTACGTGTGGACGTAGCCTCAGTCTCTGACTGGAAGCGCTAATTCGTCATTCGGCTTTTGTCAGACTAAAGTAACTGTTAAAACTGTTTGAAAAGCTCAGCTATACAACAAGGAGAGATTGAGAATTTCCTTTTAGTTCTCAGTTTATTTGATATTGACAAAAGTTAGTCAGTTATTATGGGAAATAAATATTTAAATAAAAACAAGCTGCTGATTATTTCGCATTTTACTTGTGAGCAACGGCACATTTAAATCTTACAAATATAGTTATTTGGCTTATATCGTGATAGATATCGTTATCGCCTGAAATGAAAAAAACATATCGTGATATGAAAAAATCTTATATCGCCCAGCTCTACCTGCAGCAGGAGCAGGGTTTGTTTTTCTTTAGAGAAAGGATCACACCCATAGAGAGACAACTGAAAATATGTGGAGGCAATATAAAATGCCAGAGGGCTCCACTGTATTATATCACAGTAGATGTTAAACTATTAAATGGTGTGTGATGCTTTATATTAATGAAGACATTTACATCATAAATAAAACTAAAAACCTAAAAATTTGTGTATAACAGTTCACAGAAGTGCAGGAAAAAGTTTCTGTCACAATTTCCTATACAGTGGAACCCCGACTTACGAAATTAATTTGTTACCGAGGGTCTTTCGTAAGTCGAAAAGTTTCGTAAGTCGAAGCACCCATCGCGCCTTTTGAGTGAACGATAGGCTATAGGCTAATTGCTAACTGCAACAACAATACGT